GGCTCCCTGCTCCTTGGGAGCCTGCTTCTCCCTCTGCCTCTCTCTCTCTGTGTCTCTCATGAATAAATAAATAAAATCTTTAAAAAAAAAAAAAAATCTGGAGCAAACTCCTGTTACCTTGGACCCTCCCACAAATCACCCAACTGAAACTCAAATCCTATAATAGATTTTTTCCAACACATTCTTACTGAAATGACCATAGTTCCCCATGGTGTGCATTTCTCTAGCTGTAATGAGTAATAAGCCCAACTTGTTCAAACTACAGGTATGTTCCTGCTAGTCTTTGGCTGGAAGACATTGACACCAGTATCCTCAAAATATGTCCTAGAGATGAAATCTGAACTTTCAGAACTCCCTTTCTTCCCATCTGATTATTTATCCACACTCTATTCCAGAATTCTCTCCAGGTCCCCACCCAAGAGATCCACTCTTGAAAGCCAATACTGTAAGGTCACTGTACGTGGTATAATTTCAGAGTTAAGAGCTTTCAGTGCTACCACTCGCTTGCTAGCTGTGACTTTAGGCAAATTACTTCTTTATGTTTCCTTTTCCTCTTAATAGCACCTCCCTCATAGTATTACATAAGTTAATTGCATTTATAATATTAAGCTACTTAATACATAGAAAGCACTTACAATATGCCTGCATACAATAAATGATCAATATGATTTTTGGATTCGTTTGCAAATAAAAACCTCCTTCTCTTACTTGCCCATTTCCCTTTGTTCCCCAACTTTTATTTTTATTTATTTATTTTTAAAGATTTTATTTATTTATTTGACAGAGAGAGACACAGCTAGAGAGGGAACACAAGCAGGGGGAGTGGGAGAGGGGGAAGCAGGCTTCCCGTGGAGCCGGGAGCCTGATGCAGGGCTCGATGCCAGGACCCTGAGATCATGACCTGAGCCGAAGGCAGATGCTTAACAACTGAGCCACCCAGGTGCCCCTGCTCCCCAGCTTTTAAAGACTTAAGGAGAACACCAGGTACCTTTTGATCTCATCCTGTTGCTTCCAAGAAAGCTCCTTCACCAACATGTGCTCTTCACGAAGACGAAACAAGCTGTCTTCCAATTCTTCCCGGCTCATTCTGCTCAAGGGTGGTTGAGCTTTTATATTCTTACCTAAAGTCCCAAGACAAGGCAAATAGAGATTATTTTTCCATGTAATATTTTTTTAACCTATCAGGTGTCTCATCGCATCTTGTCCAAAGGGCGTCAATCTATCTTGATTCGAGTGTTTGAGAGGAAATTCAGGAAGGATATGAAATGTGTGCTAATGGAGCTCTTTATCATTACAAATCATTCCTGGATATAGAATATCATTCCATATTGTTCCAGCATAAGGTATAACTCAACGTCTTGTCTAGAAAGTACATTCTCTTTTTTAAAATTTAAATTCAGTTAATTACTATATAATGTATTATTGGTTTCAGAGGTACAGGTCTGTGATTCATCCATCTCATATAATCCCCAGTGCTCATTACATCACATGCCCTCCTTAATGTCCATCACCCACTTACCTCATTCCTTCATCCTCCACCCCTCCAGCAACCCTCAGTTTGTTTCCTATCATTAAGAGTCTTAGAAAGTACATTCTCTACAAAAATATCAAATAGGGTTGTTAGTCTACTTAATTTTTCTTTTTAATTACTCTTCTGTTTATTCTTCTTACTAGGTAATGTGGACCTAGACAAAGATTGTGCCTAAAACCATCTTCAAACCCTTACTAAGGAAAAGGATAGAAACCTTTCTTGATTACCAAGAGTCATCTCATTTGTTTTTGTGGTCTGGGAAACTGTCCCCAAAGTTGCCTCCTGGATATAGAACATCTGCTTAGTCTAAGTGTGTGTGTGTTCACTGGCCCAGAGTCAGCTCTGATCTCATTGGAAAGATCCTAAAACCCCAGCACTCAAAATATAGCTCCTTTCCTAGAAGAAAGAGCTCAGAACTTTAGTCTCAGATCCACCTCAGCCACCACTAACACCTCTCTGGTCTAGCCTTTGGAAATGATAAGTAAGTTTTTAAAAAACAGCTTTATTGAAGTATAATTGGCACGTAATACACTGAATATATTTAAGTATAAAATTTGGTTAATTTTGACATATTTATATAACTGTGAAACCATCACAATTAAGATAATGAACATATCCATCATGGCCAAGTTTCCTTCTGCCCCTTTGTGAGCTATTCCTCTCCATCTCATCCTAACCCCAATCCCACTTTAGTCCCCAGGCAACCTCCAGTATGGCTTTATGTCGATTTTCCAGAATTTTATATAGATCTCATCCATTATGTACTCGTTTTATTTTTTAGTTTGGGGGGGGTGGTTTGACTTCTTTCACTCAGTATAATTATTTTGAGATTCATCCATGGCGTTTCTTATATCAATAGTTCCTTTTGATTGCTGGTAACATTTCACTGTACAGATATACCATAATTTATTTATCTACTTATTGTTGGTGGATATTTGAATTGTTTCCAGTTTTGGCTATTACAAATATAACAGCTATGAAAATCTGTGTATAAGTCTTTGTATGGACATGTTTTAATTTTTCTGGGTAAATACACAGGAGTGAAACAGGAGTGAAAAAGATAGGTGTATGTTTAACTTTTTAAAAATCTGTCAAACTGTTTTCCAAATATATATATATATCACAATATATAATATTACATATATTCTTTTTTTTTAAGATTTTATTTATTTATTTGACAGAGAGAGACACAGCGAGAGAGAGAACACAAGCAGGGGGAGTGGGAGAGGAAGAAGCAGGCTTCCCACTGAGCAGGGAGCCTGATACAGGGCTCGATCCCAGGACCCTGGGATCATGACCTGAGCCGAAGGCAGACACTTAATGACTGAGCCACCCAGGTGCCCCAAATATTACATATATTCTCTATCATTTCTTGGAACCACTTGAATGTAAATTGTACACATGATGTCCCATTATTTCTAAACACTTCATTGAATATTTCCTTAAAACAAGGACATAACCACAGTATAATTCTAATTCCATTACTCCTTCTACATTTATTAGTTGGAATTCTACTCTAGGGCAAAGATTTTACTATATTTATTTATTAATACATTTATTTATATCTATGCATTCTCATGGATTCTTATTTTATTCAATGGGTTATAATCCATCAATATCATTATTCATTTGATACCCAAATTGTCCCAGATTCAGCCACTGTGAGCCTTTTCAGTTGGTTCTGGTGTCATTTTAAAATATCTCCATGAGCTTTTGAGCACTTCCACATTTTTTAAAAAAGATTTTATTTATTGGGACACCTGGGTGGCTCAGCTGGTTAAGCGTCTGCCTTTGGCTCAGGTCATGATCCCGGGGTCCTGGGATCGAGCCCCACATCAGGCTCCTTGCTCAGTGGGAAGCCTGCTTCTCCCTCTGCCTGCT